ACACACACACACACACTGAATGTCATGCATAAGGTATCAGCTTGTGAATACATCCTGTGCTTCACTCAAACTGGACTCGGTGAGCCACTCGATACTTCACACAGATATACAGATATTGATGCATGGGTGCTGCAAAGAGTCAATAATTTTATTGGTGCTCTGAGATAACAGATGTTTGCAGATGTTTTGAATTTCTTCAAATTTACTAAAAGCCCCCAATAGTTTGAAGAAGACCACAAATAGCTTCTTGGTGCATTTTGCAGGTATTATAATTATAGATGAAGGCTTTTCCAATGTTAGATGTCTGCGCTGCAAGGATAATCATCTTGCCTGCTAATACACTAATAATTCCATTTTCTTATCTTGTCCATGCAGACTTAGAGAGAGTATAACCTCTGATCTTGGGGCTGCAATGAGGCTGTTGGATGGTTAATATGAATATGGCAATCTCTTCCTTGTGGAAGCCAATGCTTTGTGACAGACTCTAACTAGAGGCCACACTTGTGCTGGATTCAGTGAAGCCAGTTCTGCTGCTAATTCCTGTTCTGCTTATGGCTGACTGAAATATTTATGCACCCATTTTCAGAGTCCACATCTTGAACCTCTCAAAGAGGACACATTGGCAGGGACGTATAAATCGGTGAGTCCTATTTGTGCTAGATACAGGTACAGTAGTGCGTAAGACTAAGTCAGATTATATCAGATTATTATATATAAGATATCTTTGCACTAGGTGTTACATGTGTTTTTTATGTATTTGATTGTTATATTTTTCAAATAGATGGAAATAGCTAATACGGTTGTGACTGTGGTTTGTTTTTTTCTCGTCCCTCTTTAGAACATACTTCTGGTCCAGAGACAAATGTCTGTGAAGGAGAGGGATGTGGAGCAGTTTCAGCAGGCTCTTAAAATCTACACAGATGCCACCTGCAGCCAGCTAAACAACCTGCAGTATGTCCCTTTGTCTGCCTTGGTGCTTTTGTTTGCCTCAGGATCTCTCTGCGATTTGATGCAGCCACTTCAAATCGCCTTAATTTTCCCCAAACATATTCTATAACCCCAGCTGACCTCTTTTTCTCTCTCCATCTCTCTCTCCCTGTCTCTTTTTATTTTTAGCGTTTCAGTCCAGAACCTGCCAGACAGATCATGCTTCATCATGTATGAATTTTGGCAGGACCGTCTCTCCTGGATGAGGTAGGATCAGAAGGGCTTCATAGCATATTAGGCTAGATAACATACTGCTGCTGCTGCACCAAAATTTGCACAGCACACCGAGCTGCTCGCAGGCTCACGTTGAAGCGTTATTGCCTTGCTGAGAGGCAAATGGCAGTCTCATCCTCTATGTCCCTCTTTCCTCTCAGCTACCTGCAGTCATCCATCAGTAAGACCTTCCAGCGCTGCATTATTGACTCACTGGAAGAGCCCGAGATGGTCTCCACCATGCTTCTCCCAGGTAGAAACCAGATCTTTAAACAAAGATCACAACACTTTGATCTGTTGAAAGCTGCTATTTCATGCACAAAATCTCACATTAATCCAGTTTGGTTTTATGAATCAATGATTACTATTGTAAGTAAAACAGTGAGAATATAATAAAAAATAGCATGGGCTTGTGGAAAAATATAATTGCAAATGCCTCACATAATGAACAGGGGTGTTCAGTGGTTCAAGATACAAAGGATTATACAGAGGAGCTTAGTTAAAGTCTTTCTGGGAGAATAATTTGTGGGAAAAAATAGAATTCAGGAGCTTTACAGGTGCCCTTAAATCTACTATAATCAATATTTTTATATTAACAAGGCATCAAAGGACTATGTGTATATGAAAGGATGTGCTCAAAGACACGAACCCACAGATCATTTTCACCCATCTCTGCAGTTGCCCTCAGCCCTAACAGTGTTTTCAGAGTTAGCGACAAGCTGTTAAAGAACCAGATATTTCCCTCAGGAATTGGTGTAGATGAAAACAAATGAATGCTAATGTTGCTTTGTATCATTTGCAATATCACCTTAAAAGGTGTTAAAATATCAGTGTTGTGTTTATAGCTTGTTTCCGCTGCTGAAGCGGTTAATGCATGGTTAATGTGTGAGATATACTGTATTGGATAATGAATTGTAATCTTGTTTTTGTTTGTTTATTTTTAGCTTCCTGTTGTGATTTGTTTGTCTCAAGCAAAGAGTTAATTCATTATTGTTTCATCTGACAGCCTCTTGGTGGATTATGAACAACAACTGACAGCAAAGCTGCTGCTACTCGACACAATAAAAGCAGGAGGAAGAGGCGATTGTATGATCGCTTTATCGTTTTTGTTCTTTGATATCCACTTTTTCCTCATGGCATGAGCAGGATTGTCTTCGCAGAGCTTTGCTCCGAGGTTATTAAAAAAGAAGACTGCTTGGATAAATAAATAAGTCAACAGTGAAATAAATTAAAACATTGGAGAGAAAGAACTGAGGTAATGCAATATTTTATTGTGTGATCAGGATCTGTGCCAACATTCATTTAACAGTATTGGTACATTTCTTGCTTCTGTTTTAATAGAAAAAAAAAGATTTGCATGATTTCTTATTTCTCAGTGCTAGTTTATTTCAATCAAAACTACATCTTAGAATAGATATAATGTCAGTGATGGCACAAAAAAATAGAAACACATGAATGACAACTGATATGTCCATCTCTCATTCTTCAGTACAAACAAAAACAGAAATAGTGCTAGGGTTAACCTGCATCCCCCCTTGTTCTCTTTGTGGTATTGTGCTTTGTTGTCTCCTTCAAAGCTTTGCTACCAAGCGTTTTTTTGTTGATGGGTTTGACAGCCATTAGATAGAACATAGTTAATGAACAATTATGGTTCACATCTAAACTTTTATCATCCGTGTGTCACTCTTGCACTTTAGAAAAATACGAAACGTGGACCTAATTGTGAAGAATGGATATTTATTGTAGATTGTCTATTGAAAATGTAGAATTAACTGGTGTTATAACAAGCCAAGAGCTGCACTCAAGTGTAGCGAGACATTAGCGGACGATAACAATTAACCAAATAATTCTGCAGTTTACCTGTACTGTTACTCTAGAAATAAAACTCAAAAGCCATTATTTTACATTTGCGGTGTTTAATCGGAAGAGTTTACAGCACACACAAATAGAAGTTTATATTTTGAGTACAGAAATGAAGCAGAACCTGTTCAGTGTGTTGACATTAGAAAGTCTATTTAAGATTGTGTACAGTAGTTAATGAAAGCTGTAAGATGTAAGTAGTTGTTGTAGAACAGTGGTAAATGTACAGTATGATAGTATATTGAGCTCCGGTTGCTCCGAAGAGGAATGAATGTGTTCACTCTTTCTTTAAAGTGTTTATTATTTATTTGATCAGGAATATACATTTGTTATGTGGATGCTATGTTTGTTTTCTGGCATGAAATAAAGTTTATGACTTGTTGATGACATGAAATGATGCATTAATTGTCCTACCCACACTACTCCACCACCACTATTAGTAAATTAATGGTAATGATCCACCCTATCCAGCAGCTACTTCATATTGTTTATTACTGTCTCAAGTTGGCTTTTCCTGTATATACACTAACTATGTCAATAATGAGGTTTAGACTGGATTTCCTCTTTAAATTGTATTAGAATCCAATTTGCATGTAAGCGCTGTCAAAGAAACTTAAAAAGGTAGAAAGTATTTTCCTTCTCCTGGGCTGAATAAGACTGATAGCCTGAAATCCTTTGTAAATATAAGCTCATGATATCAGCAGGAACCTTTAAGAAATTGCTGCCTTTAGAAAAAGCAATGGATTCTGAGCAGGTTTTCATTCTTCAAAGCCAATTCGCTCTTTTAACCAGTTCTTCTCCTCAAACACAACCTGAAAGCTCTAACCCAGAAAGTTTAAGTTTCCACCCGCAGCAGCTGACAGCTCACATTCTTCTATATTTTCAGTCTGAATAATACATACACATCAGGTTATATTTGACTTCACAGCATCTTTATCCCAGAGAGCCTTAACTACCAAAAATAAGCAGTTTAAGTTGTGAAATGTTTGTACTTTGTGCCTGTAATCTATGTACAATATAACTCATTTGAGGATTTCCTTTTAAGTAGTAACACAGTATTGTTGTGTACTTACACTCATTATCCGTAAGTGGATATTGACACATTTAAATTAGTCCAATGTAATGTGTTACCTCATATTAGCTGAAAGTATTACTAAGTGGAAGTTTATATATGGATTCTATTTACAAATCCCTCCCGATTCTAATTAAACCTAAATAGCTTGAAAGCAGAATCTGTTGTTGTTCAAGCCGGCAGAAGGCAATCCAACCTCTGGTTCTCTATGATGGAAACTGTAGGAAGTGAAGAGGGTGAACGCAGGAGGCCATTTACAGCTGCAGAAATTCTTCTCCCACATCCTAATCCTTCCTTGCTGCTATTTTCTCCTCAGTGACAGAGGGGCTTCTGCAACAACTGCCAGCTATGTGGGCTAAAAAACATCATATAAACTGTATGCTTCACGCGTACCCGCAGAATCAAAAACAATATATTTTCAATCCTCTTAGGACCATATACCATATTGATGCCATTATGTCTTTTTGTGCAATTTCCTAGTGCAAATTGGGCAGAGAATAGTATTTGCACAGCAGACTGAGCAGACACTAATGAGTGCAAGATATATATATATATATGTTGTGGATTGATTGCCTGTAAATGGATGCCATTTGTGATGCTTGGTACCCATTAGCAGACAAGGGGTTTCTGTCCACGATGTTAATGCACTTGAATGTCACTGCACATCTATTTGATCAATTAGGAGCTCATGTGCATGTGTTTTCGTTTCTGTATAATTAGGAATAAGTGGTTAGAATAGTTGGGAGACTTGGTGAGACAATGGACCGGTCTAGAAAACAGCAAAACATTGTGAAAAGAAATAGAGAGAGAAGAAGAAATGGTTTGTGAAGAGACAGGAAGATACTGGCAGAGGAAAATCAGAGGCAACCGTCAGGGCACATTGACGCCGAAGGGAAGCAAACTCAAGCAGAAAGCCTGAGCTCTGATTTCCTGAAGTGTAACACACACACACACACATCAGTGGCCAGATTTGTGATAAGCTAAGGTAACAGGAGGACGGACGGAAGGAGAAGGAAGAGGAGGAGGGGGATTCAGAGAATGCAGTGATGGGTACAGTTACATGTCTTCTAGCATTTTCCAGGCCAGCTCAGTGACAGTTGATCAAGGAGGGATTACTGACGGCCCAAGGCACAAATATATTCCTGGAATTAGAAGGCGTATGATCTGCCTTATCAGATGGGCTCTGCTGCCTACCTTTCATTGGCTACACACTCGCTGCGGCAACAGCGGCAGATGACACAAACAGAAGTGGAGGAGTGCATCAGCTCACAAGCAGGATGACTGGAGCATCTTGAGATTTTTTCAGTTTGATGGTGTAGATCTGAACAAAACAGAAGTGATGACATTCAGCATGAAGTAAATGTCCCTGCTCCTGCCAGTAAACAAGCAGAGTTTTGTGGTTTCAGTGCAGAGATGGAAATTAGAAGTAGACATGCATGGCAGCAAGCACATCATTTCATTTTCAAAGATGTCAAAAATGAGGACTAAACCTGGAGCATGCAATCCCTGCTTAACAAGCTTCAGATCACTTAAAACGACCCCTGTATGTTTGTGTTAATGTACTCAAAAGGAGAACAGATCACAGGTTGGTAATTATATAGAGAGTCACGATCTGGATAGTCTGGCCAGACAAAAGAAAAACACTTGACCAACCACTGAGCAGTGGAGAGGTTCAAGAGGATGTGGAGCTAAAAGCACCACTGTGACAAGCACACAGCGATCAGAGGAAGACAGACAGAGAAAACACAATTACATGAGAAACAGAGGTAAAATACTGAAGCAGTGAAGATAGGAGCAGGAGGGAGGTAAAATAAACCCAATTTGCAACATCATCATCTTGCACAGGCAGAGTGGGGTTATCAGGGGGAAATGCTGGCGGTTCTAGTGGAGGAAGCCTGATGAAAAGAAATATGAAACAGAGAGGAATGTCGGTGAGTGATGAAAACAGAGGAGGATGTCCTTTGAAGAGTGGAGAGACGGTAAATTGGCACCGTGAAATACAGGACAAAAAAGTGGGGGAGAGAAGGGGAATAAATGAGGCGATGAAACCTAGAAATATAGGACAATTTGGAGGTAAGATACAAGATATAGTAAACGTGCACAAAAAACCCCAACAAAAAATATGTGCTCGATCTAACATCTCTGGGTAGTAGTAATCAGATCATTGCAATCAGTAATCAAATCAAATTAACAAAAAATTATGCAGAAAATCCAAAACTACGGTATTAACAGTGCAACTACACTCTGTGACCATATAATTGTGTTGAATTATAGGAAATATTATCGCTGTGTCCAATTATATTTTATCCATCAGTGCGCTCTCAATGTTGAGGTAACAGTTTGGGGAAGGCCCTAATAATAGACGCATGTTAATTTCACATGAACCAGTTTGGTGTGGAAGAACTTGACTGACCTGCACAGAGCCCTGACCTCAACCCCATCCAACACCTTTTGGGATGAACCGTAACACAAACTGCAAACCAACACCAGTGCCTGAATTCTCTAATGCTCTTGCGGCAGAGTGGAGGGTGATATAGTAGCATCACATGGGTGCATATGTGTCCACATATTTTTGCCATGTAATATAATATAATATAAATTCAAACTGTGTTGAAGGAAAAGTAAACTCAAGGGTTTATTGCATTAGAGCAAACTATTTTAGGATCCAACAGCTCTGTGACTTTCTGCTTCACTTCAGGTCTTTGAAAACTGCTCACTGATAAAACATTCATAATTAAGTTATCAACGGTCGTCGTCCTTTATAAACAGATAACAAAAATAAAAAGAGATATCTACAGAGGAAGAGCGTGGGACGGAATAGTGGAGGCCGACGCATCAGAAAGACATAAAAAAATGAATTGGGTGGAGAATGGAGTGAGAGAGAAAGAAAGAAAGATTAAGAAAAGAAGATGATAGGATTAAAAGGTGAAAACAGAGGAGACTGAAGCAGACTGTGAAATAAGATTACATGTATGAGATGACTGTAAGTGAAAAGAAAGCTGGAGGGAAGAAAGCAACAATAGAACAATGGAGAGCAGCAAAAATAGTAAAGCCAAAAATAAACGAAGGCAAACCAAGAAAAAAATGGACATGAATGAAAATAGAAATGAGATGAGACCGGTAAAAACAAAGTATATGAGAAGATGGAAGATGTTATAGAGAGAATAATAAAAGGCATACTATGAAAAAGGATTCAGTTAAGGGCCTCTGACATATGGGGGAAATATCAGTTTAACTGCAACTGATGCTGCTTCCTGTTTTTCTTCTCAAGAACTGTAACCTATACTCGCTGTTAAATACAGCTTTAAGGTATTGGTACTACTTACTCCGCTTAATATTGTACCTTTATCTTCTCTACAATCATGTGACAGCTGTGGTTAGAAGTGATGTTGGTGATTAGGATGCTGCATTCAACATGACTCATGAGATAAGCTTTTCAAAATCAACTCTCATTTTTATCATACAAAGACCAAATAATCCAGAATTTAATTTGATAGCATAATAATCCCTAAATTAGAGATGCAAGGTGGCAATATTGTAATATAGTGATGATTATGACAAACTGCTGTAGTTTAGAAAGAAATCCCCAAAAGCATAATGGTGTGTAAATGATATAATCAGGCTTAACTCCACCAGGACCATTTGCAACATTCAAATACTGTTTACTCTTTGATAATCTACTCATCAGTATCACTCTGAAAGGGACCCTTCCTCACTCTGAGTCCTTTAACATTTTAATACTTTAGTACATTTACTGTGAATAGCTGCAAATGTGTTTCAGCTTGAATCCAGGACTGTTAATTAAGTATTTTTCCACTGTGGAATTGTTACTTTTACTTAAGTCAGGATTTGAATTCTTCCTCCACCTCTGGTAACCACCAGTGACATTTATCTATTTTAAGCTCTGTGCATAAAAGACGCTTTATTAACACCTGTCCGCTGTTAACACAGTCACTGAAGGAGATGAGCACAAACTGCCTCAATTTAAATGCAGAAGATGTGTTAAATCTTTGACTTTTCTCACAGCAGGTCGATCCATAACAATGCTGCCGGAAAAAACTCTGCACTGCTAACAGTTCTGCGTGGGCTGCAGCAGGACCTGTCTCTCCATCAACATCTGCCATCGGTCAGCACAAGCAGTAATTAATGTGCCATCATATTGGTGCAACATATTGGGTATAATTTTCACATCAGTCCAGTCATGCAAGCAATATATTATTAAGCAATCATTGCCTGATAACCTCAGCAATGCCACAAATGACTTCACCTTTATTATCATGTCATCTCACAGAAGTGTATTATTATTATTAAAAATATTAACTAGCAGGTTCCCAATGTGCTTAGATATGCAAGTATAAAGTTACAAAGTATATTTACTCAAGTACAGTTGTGAGGTACTTGTATATTACTCTATTTCTATTTTCTATAACACAAGATTTGAAATGGACATATTTCACTTTTTACTTTACTACATTTATTTGATAGCTGCAGTTACTCAGATTATACAATTTGACGCATTTTTACAGACTGAACTACCAAGTATAGTTAGTTATATAAAGTATAGTTAATTTGGCATCATTTCAACTACAGCTACAACTACAAAATGTTACCTACATCAATGATAACCATTATTAGTAGTAGAAGTATAATAAGTCATATGTGATGTCACCCATAAAGTTGGGCATAATCAATACTTATACTTTGACTTGTTAAGTATATATTTTTTAGTTGATATTGCTGTAAATATCTTTTTTTCTACAGTGATATATCATACCTCTTCCACCAGTGGTAACTGGTGAATTTGAATAAAAAGATATGAGTAAGTTAAAACTTTTATTTGAGAATAATTTCTTATATTTGAATTTTGTGCCACTATTGGCAGCAACAGGTTTGTACCTCTATAAATACTATATTGTTGATTTTACTATCATCCTCTGTTGGATTGATACGGTTATTTATTGTGAGTAAAATGAAATGCAAAATGTTTTTAAATGTAAATGATTATATCCCTGAGCATTAGAGATAAAAGTGGGTGAGAGTAGCTTAAATTGGGTCCTCCGGATGTCCTCCGGCTCATCACACTGAAGTGAAACTAGTCAGTAAGCTTGACATTAATCAGTAGTGATGAGTGATTTGCACCTCCTGGCTACCTGAGCCACCAGCATCAGCTGCCCTCTCCTACGGCTGAGACTCTTACTGTGAGAATTTCTGATACAATGTCTTTCTTTTTCTTTATGAATTTAAATAATTAATATAGTATAATGGACACTGCACTGGCATGCTGGGAAACATGGCATGCACTTGATCCAAATGATTGTAAGTACTCCTAACAGATGAAACAAATGGATTTTTACTTTTGAAGACAACTTGTTTTTGTAATCTTAATCTTAAATAAACCCAAAACTCTACACACTATTCATGCATCACATTAAAGGTCCTGTATGTAACATTGAGGAGAATCTATTGATGGAAATTGAATATAATATTCATAGGTATGTTTTCATTAGTGTATAATCATGTAAAAATATGAATCATTGTGTTTTCATTCCTAAAACAAAACACTGGCATTTAATGATTTCCAATAAATCTACCATAGAATAAATTACTTCTTATATTGAGAACTGGAGATTAAATGGGAGCATAACATCCTGGAGTTTAATTTAGTTTTTCTAGTGTTTTTCAATAATAAACAATAAGAGAAGAGTTTGACATGAAAATGATTGATTGAGGTTTTCCTCACTTCTGTGTTATAATCATTAATGTAAAGTTCTGCACTCAGACAGACTCAGTAGTATCACTGGCTGAATAGCAGGGGTGGGTCTAAATAGAGAAATATTCATGGAGTGGCAGGAAAAATATGCTGATTTAATCACTAACAATCACGGATATCAATAATTGCGTGGATAAGTTCCTAAATGAAGATATTTTAAAAACATAACATTATTGTGGCACATTAGTAAAGCATTGAATATGTAAAGGGGGCATTAGTAGTAATTTGTAAACCCTTTGTAAACATTTTTCCAAATACACATCATTTTTTCATTAACCTTAAGCCTATCACTAAGTCTGAATGTAGCTATAACACATACTTAAATTAAAATTTAAGAAACATTTTAACACGTTATATTAAAATTGTATCTAAATTAACTGGTTAAATTTGACAGTATTTGATGCCAAACTGGGGTGGCCGTGCTTTTTATAGGTGGCAGCTGCCCCCCCTTTAGATCGGCCCAGTCTAATCTCCGGTGTTATGTTATGTTATTTCAGTGCTGGGGCACAGATTGTACCTGTATAAACGAATTAAAACTTTATAACATAATTTACGGTGGCCATTATTCGAAAACTACGCCTCTAAAACTACCCATGATCCCTCGCGGCACGAACTTTTTCTGGTGTTAATTAAAAAAAACAAGCTAATACCAACAACAGCGACCTTTGTAAGAGCTAATTAAACTCGTGTTTTATAAAACTAACGTTACGCTACGGAAACATTTCCAACTCTTGTGACACCGTAAGTTACAATATGTGTTGTCTGTCGCCCTACTTATACTCCGCTCCCGCTATAAACATCCGGGCATTCGGAAGGCTTGCACTCTGGGCTACAAGCAGAGAACCTGGTTTCTCCCCCACCCCGCCCAGGGGAAAGTCCCCGGACTCGTGGCAGAAAGTGCCCTGGGTGATTCCAGCGTCGACCAGCGCTATACCGTCAATGTAGCGAAGACGTTCACTTGAACCGAGCTTGGTACTCGCTGGTCGGCTTTGTCAGCGTTCATAGTAATGCAAGTGAGCAGTTACTGACGCTAAAACAGAACGGGGCTCATTCTCGGAATGCACACTTTTTATCTTACACAAGCTATAAATCCATACTTGTTCAGGTTACTTATTTGCTAACGACAACTTTAGCTCCTCCGTCTTGAGCTGAACACTGGTTACTAAGCAACACTCGAAGTGCCGGTTTACTGTGTACGCCACAACACATAGTGGGCTTACTTATTTTACAAAAGGCTAAAAAGCAAAATCAATGTATTAAAGCCAGAGAGAGGGATGTTTTAAATATGTATATCATATATTACATTTATTCCACCGCCTTAGTTGAGGATTAGTTGTGCCGGAAACAAGCTCCCGATTTGAAACGTGTTGGTTTAGGTCGCCATCTAGTGGTAGAAAGTGTGACGTGCAGTCCATTAGTGTCAAGCCAAGATATAATGATATAATGATATAATGATATAATTTGCCAGTCTCGATAAATAATATCACATCCTCGTTCACCTTTTCCTTAAGAAGTGCTCCGTTTTTACCATTTTATCAATTAAGGTAAACAATAATTTTTGATATTTCAATAACTCTTTTGATTATGACATACATCATCTAAAAGTGATGAGTGATTAAAAAAATATATTTTTAATCATTCAATCACTTTATTTTTCCAACTGTCCAGAAGTTCCAGCAAAGTAATTTCTATACTTATTATTAGCCTATTATTATTATACTCTTAAAATGTCCACCATACAGACCAGTATGTGTCTGTACCTACAATAGGCTATACTGCCCTTATTGTCATGGAGCAGTATTAGCACATTGGCATTATAATGTTACGTAGGTTGATTGATTTTAAGCCAATATGATGGGAATAAAGTGGTGGAAAAAAGCATCAGGTGCCACAGAGAGATCATGTGTCTGATCATCAGTGTTATGCACTGTCTGCACTGACTGTGTCCAGTGGGTCTCCATTTTCTCTTTGGTGTCACCTTTCTGCGTAACAGAGGGAGAACAAAGACACTTGTTTTTCCATATTGACGTCGCTAGAGGGAGCACCAGATTTATTTACAGCATCCCTCCAAATACACTGTGACATGAAAGCACACACAGACGCACACTGACATACTGTATACTACGGGATTAGGCAGCGCACAAAAAAGATTACAGCGTCACATGGTGGCCCCTCCAAATGGTGCCTGCCAATACACCCCCCCCCTCTCCTGAGCTATCCCATGTTCATTTGGAGTGGGCGTAGGCTCAGCAGCAGCAGCAGCATCACAAAGGTTCAGCCCCTCCCTGCTGTATCCTGGAGAGACGGAGGGAGGTGGGGGGGGGG